CACTCGGGAGGCAGAGCCAGGCGGATCTCTGTGAGTTTGAGGCCAGCCTGGGCTACCAAGTGAGTTCCAGGAAAGGCTCAAAGCTACACAGAGAAACCCTGTCTAAAAAAAAAAAAAAAAAAAAAAGGGTTCTAAAATGGAGCCAAGAGCAGCTTCCTAGTTGTGTCTCTCAGGCAAGCTATGATACAGCAACACCGCAATGTGCAGAATTGAGCTACAGTAGGCCAGTTCGTGGCATGTGGGCTTGACTTACAGCATGGCGGATTCCTGCCACAGTACACAGAGGTATCTCCAAGCTGTGCAGTGTAGTGCATAGTGGATTTAGCTTTTGATAGTATAGGAAAAAAAAAAGTTTCTGGGCTATGCGCTGCTGGATGGAAGCATACACTCGCTGCTCCCAGACTCCGTGGTGAGCATGGATCCCAGAGCTGGTGGTAAAGGTACCTCTGCCATGTTGGGAAGCTGAGGGGGGCGGAGTCAACATCAAAGTCACCGTGCAGCTTAACAGTTTAAAACTTATCCTGGTCAGAGAGGGATTACAGATTCATAATAAGACTGATTCAGATGGAATAAAACTCTAAATGGTTTACAGTGTGTGTAAAAATGTATGTAGGCTTGGAAGAGAGAGGAAAGGAGTATATATAGTTACATAAAGAAATAGATAAAGGAATATATACAATTATATAAAGAAAGAAATAGTTTTTAAAAATAAAGTCTTTAAAGAGACAATAAAAGTAATATAAAAGTTAAGCCATGTAAAGATGAAAATTACACAAAGAATCTGGATGCTGCCTATTATTACATTGTCTTTGGGATTTTTAACTACAGAAAGCCATTTGATTGTAAAGGCTGATGGGTGTTTAGAACACAGTTGGGTACTGTAATACTGTTTTAGGAAAGAAATAGTAGTAGGGTTCCCCTTTAGGGTCCATGACCTTACGAGCCATGGCCAGCTAGCTCTATTTAATTGTACCAGGCATGAATTCCTTCCTGTTGAGCAGGTCTTACGTCCAATCAGATGGCTATTGGTTTCCCCCAAGATATAAGTGCCACTGTTGCACACCCTTGGGTAGACCTTGCCTTGCTTGTCATTGTGGCGCACAGGTATTACAGTTGCGTCCGACTACTGATTGCTTTTCTCCCTTGGCAGCTTGCCCTGCACCTCCAGATACTATGAGAACTAGTCCTCAGGGAGGAGGCTTCCACATCAGGTTCCATGATGATTTCTCCAAATTCCTATGTTAGAAGTGTATGATGTCTTCAGCAGTGAGGTCTCACCTTCAAGTTCTGGAAGGCAATCAAACAATAGCAACAGCCTATATTGTTCTGGAAATCTCAGCTTCAGAGGTTTCCCATGCCTGGCACTGGGGCTTTGTTAGGTAGTCTAAGGCATCTGAGGGGGGAGCATTCACACCCCAAATAGCACAATTTCATTGAAATTATTTACACGTGTATACACATATACATTGTATGTGTTGTTTTAAGTGAACATAAAAGAATGCTTCCCTATGGCTTTTTCAATCATCCTTAGTGTTCTTTTCCATCCTGCCTCTCCCTTGCTCTCTCTAATGCCCTACTCTCCCCTCCCCAGATGAATTCCATCCTCCCATTTTCCCTGTTTCCCCCTTCATAGAGCCTGTGTCACACCATCCCCTTCTTAGGAGCCTCTTCCGACACACCCTGCTTCCTTTTTACTTCCCTGGTTTCTGCTAATTACTCCCGGTTATATGCTCACATCTAAAGATTTCAAACTGGGATCCACAAACAACAGAGAACATGAGGTATTTGATTTTCTGAGTCTGGGTTACCTCACCCAGCATAATATTTTCTAGTTCCACCCATTTTCTTGCAAATTTCATGATTTTATTCTCCTTTACAACTGAATAGAAATCTGTAGTGTGTGTGTACCACATTTTTATCATCAGTTCATCAGTTGAAGGAAATTTGGGCTGTTTCCACTTCCTAGCTATTGTGAATAAGTGATTATCTGTGGAGTGGGATGAGACCTTATGACAAAGAGTGGTATAGCTGGGCCATATGGTAAATCTACTTTTTACCTTTTTAAGAATTCTCTACACTGATTTCCAGGGTGGCTGTGCCAGTTTGCAATCTCACCAACAGTAAAAGATGGCTTACCTTTTGCTGAATCCTCTAGAATTTGTTGTTAGCTGTTTTCTTGATCATAGCCATTCTGCTTAGGGTAAGATGAAATATCAGTGTAGGTACAATTTGCATTTCCCTAACTGCCAACAGTGTTGAACGTTCTTTGAGGTTATTTCGTAGCCAATTTCATTCTTCTTTTAAGAACTCTGTTCAGATCCATAGCTCATTTTTTAAACTTGTGTTTCTTGACTAATATTTTATTTTCTATGCATGAATGTTTTGCCTGCCTATACGTATATGAACCAGGTGAGTGTCTGGTGTCCACG